AAATTTATAAAATATATTAAATTATCAAAAGAAATAACTTTTGTATTCGAAATGTAATAAAATAAAAAACATGTCACAATTTATGTAGGTGAGATTGAATATACTTTCTACCTAGTAACACTGTTCGCTATCTCGCTTCGATTTTCGTTCGCTATCTCGTTTTGATATTGCCCCATGTAGGTATTCCCAGCGGCTCAGCCAATGTCGGCAGGGCCTGTACACATGTCTCTCAACCCTGACATTGGCAAAATCGTCGCGCAAAACGACGGAGCCATAGACACAAAAGTTGAAGTTGAAGTTATTGCTGTATTGTATGCGATTCGCTCTGGACCTTTTGGAGGGAAAAGTGTCGTTTTTATTTTGAATTTCAATTATTTTGTGAAATCTAGTTTAAAGTGGAATAGGATAGTGCCATCGAGCCTTAATCGAAGATTAAAACGCGAAATTATACGAATCTCGAACTAAAATACCCGTATCGGCCCGTTTTAAGGAATCCCGAGTCAATCCAATCACGCCGTCTCAAATTGCCTAACCTCTTTGTGGCGGCCATGTTTACAGAAACATATTTAAACTTCATGTTTAGGCTTATGGCTTTGCCAAAGCCTTAATAAATTAAAAAAAAAAAATTGCTGTATGCGCTGAGTAATTTTATACGAAGTTCTGTAAATTCTCGTACGGTTGTTGCTTGTTTTGTTATTTAAAATGAACAAAACGACTCGTAGTAGTGGTAGAACAGTGATATACCAAGTTTTTTTTTACGATGTTTGGCTGAATCTTAAGCGGGACAAATTTTGTCTGAAATTAACAACGTTTATCAGAGAACAGCCGATATGACAGGTATTTATGCAAATTATTCAATTATTATTACGTTCTACATGTCGAATTACGCACTTTGCACTACTTATAATATACTATTAACGAGTTTTTGTGTTCAATTGACAAAATAGTAACTAACTACATATATGTTTACGTATGATTTATAAGTTGACTTAATATTTTTGATTCTTTCAAGACTTAAAATTGAAATAAATTGGTGTTTTTGTATATTTGTGTATGTTTGGTATTTATTTTAGGTAAATCTGTCAATACCATAAGAAAAATTGTTGAAGAAGGTGAAAAAAATAATGGCGTGTTTTCTACACCTGGCAAACATAGGAAAGGTCATATTAATGAAGTCAGTCGTAAAGTCCATTTCTCCTTGCACTCACTTAAGCGCCTCCAAAACGATTTACCTTTAAAAACCAAGATATGTTTAGTCCAAACACTTATTTTGCCCTTCTTAGACTATGCTGATTCCTGCTATTTGGATGTTACTGAAGAACTGCTAAATAAGCTTGAACGACTGCAAAACCTATATATAAGGTTCATCTTTGGGCTTCGTAAATATGACCGAATTTCACATTTCCGCAGTCAGCTCAAATGGCTTCCCATCCGTCTCCGCAGGAATTTGCATATTGTCTCCATTCTTTACAATATTTTACATAACCCTGTGTCTCCCGGGTACCTGAAAGAGCGTTTCAGCTTCCTTAGGTCCCAGGATAAACCCTGTCGCTCTCTTGTTAGGTCCCAGTTATCTTTTCCATGCTTCAATTCCGGTTTCTATTCTCACTCCTTCACTGTTCATGCGGTCAGACTTTGGAATGCACTACCTATTACTGTTCACGAAAGTAAATCGTTAGCTATTTTTAAAGTGAGAGTTAAAGAGCATTATTTATCTACTATTCCATCCATATCTTAGGTATTATATTATAAAATATGTATTTATCTAAGTATTTATACAATTTATAACAATTTAATATTTTTATATTATTTTTTTTCTTGTTTTGTTGTGCACATATTTTATTGTTCTTTTAGTTATAGTGTCCTGTATTTAGGTCTGCAGGAAGAAATTTCTATTAGAAATAAGCGAACCTTTTGTTTTTAATTTCGCTTGTATTCTTTGTGACTTGTTGTATTTTTCCTGTACAATAAACTATTAAATAAATAAATAAAATAAAGGTCGACCAAAGAAAAATCTCGATGATTTTGACCTCTGCGCAATTAGACAAAAGGTTCATTTCTTCTACACGGTAAAAAAACAGGCATGTATTATATTTTATATTAATGCCACTTTCTTCAATAAAAAAACAGTATTATGTAATAAATAAAAACTTTTTTTTTCTTTTAAGGTGCCTACACTACGAAATTTATTACCTGTAGTTAAAGAAGATTTGGGATTTAATGGAAGCCGTGAACATCTAAGAAAGATATTATATTCTCTGGGTTTCTCTTACAAAAAATGTAAAACAGACAGATCGGCACTAATGGAGAAGCCTAATATAGCAGCAAAGAGGGAACAATATTTAAAAAATTATAATGCATAATAGAAATTTGCCTCAAGAACTCCAAAAACAAATTATTTTTTTGGATGAAAGCTACGCACACTCATCTTACAAGCTTAAAAAATGTTGGCAATCAATTGAAGTTAGTGGAGTGCGACACAATATATCTAAAGGCAAAAGATATATTATTTTGCATGCTGGGAGTGAAAAGGGGTTTGTTCCAAATGCACTATTAATTTTCAGTGGCACAAACAAGAATGAAGATTACCATTCTGAAATGAATAGAGCAAATTTCACTAAGTGGGTTATCGAGAAATTAATTCCCAATTTGACAGAGCCTTCCATTATTGTTATGGACAATGCTCCTTACCATTCGGTAGTCATCAATAAGGCCCCAACTAGTGCAACAAAAGTTGCTGATGTAAAGCTGTAAACAATTTGATGAAATGATGCGTAAACCTGAATTGTTAATGCTTGTAAAACGCCACAAGCCAGAGGCCCTTTATGAAATTGACCAAATATTGGGGGATCATGGTCACACTGTGGCACGGCTGCCTCCATATCATTGTCACCTCAATCCTATTGAATTGATATGGGGAATAGCAAAACATAAAATTGCCTCTGTCAATGTAGGGTCCATTGACATAAAGGTAGGGATCTAGTTCATAATTCGTTTTTCTTAATATTATTAAGTTGAACTCATAATCAATAATATTTTTATTCCGACAGATGGCAGCTGAACAAGCATTCCAAGCGATTACTGCCGAAGATTGGAAAAATTCATGCCAACATGTTATTAAAATTGAAAAAGAGTATTATGAAAGGGGTATGACTATGTATGACGACATTGAAAAATTAGTTATTAACGTCAGAGATGAGAGCAGTAGCGAGACCACTTCAGATTCATGTGATTCAGATGAGTTTGTTGTTGCCGGAACGTCTAGCCAAGATACAATAGAGTTTTCTGGGGTGGAATATCTCGATGAAAGTGTTTTGGAATCTGATTGATTCAAAATTTTATAAGTTTACGCGAATGTTAGACATCGAAGACGACCAACAGCTCATTCCGCCCCGTGACCACGAAGAAATCAGTCTACGAAACGTCGGGAGTAAAATTAATCTAAAAAACCGCGATATTATCCGAAAATTAGTATTTATTAAAAAATTTTAAATTGTTATTTTGTTTTATTAGAATAAATTGTACAAACAATAAATGGTTCATTTTCCCTTTTATCCTATTTATTTTATTATAATTATCAAACCTGCTTGAATCTCCCTTAGTAAGAAGGAAAAAGGTCATTTAAATTATAAAAACAAATAATTCTGTGAGGGATCATATTATGTTGGTATATAATATTATGTTGTTACTGTGGATGGATCGAGTCTGATGGTAATTGAAAATTAACTCTTAAGGGCGCGTTTATTTGACGCGAATATGTCGCCGCCGCGCGGCCGTGACGCGGTGACTGAGTTCATGTGTTTAGAGACCGAACTGTTATAACAAAATACGCTTTATTTATTTAAAATTTACATGTTAAATTCAGAATTTTCAAGAAACAAAAACTTTACCACATTACTGCTTGCCGACTTGGGTTCGTCCAGTTACTAAAATTATGCGAAGTTTAACTACAAAGAAACAAGTTGTTATTGCATAATTACTTATACAAATAATGCAAAGAAGAAAAAAAAGAGGTGAGATGATTTTGGGTTCATCCCATTTTGGAAATAAGAAAAGAGTTTGGAGAATTTCATACGAGTCTGGCTTAGCTTTCGTCCAACGTGCGGTTGTATTATTCCGAGAAATTTAAATGTTGTTGCCTACCAAGAAAGTTTTCGGGTCGTGTAAAAATAACAAGTATCTAAACATTTTTCGTCGTAGTATATCGGGTTGCCATATATTCTATCTAGGCGCCCTCATTAAATCCATACTCTTTTGCCAAGCTGTATGGTTCTTGAAGGTTTTTCGCTGATGTGAAGTCGTTTTAAATTTTGTTCCTCTAGCTTAACTACTGCCAACAAATTCAATTCATTACAATTTTCTATAAATAGACAATAAAAGTCTTATATTTTTGCAGTTGAATTGTTAAAAGGATTTTAATAATAAGGTGATTCACGACAAAACATAAATGCCTAGGTGAACCACGGGACGAAATAATTGCCCTTGGTCTATCCAGGTGGACATAGGTAAGCCATGGGAAGAAATAAATGCCCGTGGTCCACCTAGGTGAACCAGACAAGTGGTCCCCGGGCAAGATGTGCAAAATTTTATAATTCACACTAAATAAAACTACTAAAGATATTTTTACACGTAGAACGTAATATAAGCCTTCGAAATTATATTTTTCCAGTTTTTGGGCAATTTTTCCGGAATTTCCACCACTTCAAATTTTTCGGCAAATTACCCAACAAGCCAAATGTCAGACAAAGGGTCGTATTCCAAAACTCTACTCGATGCTCAAGACAGGATCTGAGTATGATTTCAAGCACTGGAAATCATACTCAAGTCCTTGCCATTAGGGTCGTATTTCCAATGCTTGAAATCATACTCAGATCCTGACTTGAACATCGAGTAGAGTTCTGGAACAGAGTCAAATTTCTATTGCTATGACCCTAAATGGAAAAAAAATAAAGGAATGACTACAATAAAAAAAAATTTACAAGTTTGCAAGGAAATAATTTTTATGAAGAGGCTGTAGGGTAAAACCTCTGCCTACTGAAATAAACATGAGAAAATTTATTTAAAAAAAATGATAATTGATCCGTCTACGTATTCTACTACTTCCTCCTTGGGCAACGTGGCAACTGGTGGCAACAATACTTATTCGTTCCTTTTTTTATTAATGGTTTTGACTTAGATACAAGTCCTTTTAGTCATGTCTTCGTTAAATTATTGGATACTCGGTAATATTTTCCATTGTAGTTCTAATAGATTGTTTTCAATTTCTCTTAAATAACTTAGTTCACTTATTCGGTTTTTTACATAGTCTTTTAAGCGGCAGTAGTCAATATTTATGTTTTCACTTTCACATAGATCACATTATCTTCAATTACTTTGAACAAAAACTTTGAATTCGTAATTAGTAGAATTTTCGGGATAAAGTCTTTTGTAATTTGGGTTCTGTTAAGGAATATAGTTGTAACTTCTTCATCGCTATTTCTTTTGTCGTTTTTTTCTTCATAATGTACTTAAAATAAAATTAATAATCTTTGTAAAGATTGTAGTTGTAACTTCAAAAGCCTGCCATTTCCTTATTCATCCTGCTTCAGATAAACCACAGAGTACTTTATATGTGAATAAACTGCTTACTCCCAAAGCGATAATACGCAGCTTGTATTTTCTAGAACAATATGTATGAAACCGAAGAACTCATTTGAAACTCAAAACATCCAAACCACAAAATTAAACACAAAGTTAACGATGCATGGAACCGTATTAATATAATAAAATTACCAGGCAATGAGTTGAAAGCGAAGAATTTAATGGCAAATTTTCGTGCATATCTTCGTCAGAAAAAAACAATCTATAATTTCGGGTATGGAAGATGTACATGACCTATATGGTTCTTTACTTGGAAAATTTTTTGTGGTGAGTGTATGGCTGCGAACGCACAATAATACTGAACTGACACTGAAGATAATGTAAGTATTTTTATACCATTGTATATACTTAGATGTCGCGTGCAATGAAATGTAAACGTTTGTTAAATTATTAGATATTCCAAAAACAAGTACCTACTTTGTGTTGTGTTAAAAAGTAAACAACCAGTGATAAATATACACTCGATGATTTATAATATTTATCCATAACATTTTCGTAAAAATTATTACAAAGCATTTGCTTTTTTTTAAATAACGTTTGTGATTTTATCATTATTATGTAACCACTTTTAAAACTACCTACGGAATTTATTAGATTTTAGTTACATATTACATTTTACTATTGAAATTGACACCAAATATAATTACACGGATTTATATATGTATTTCATAAACTGGATCGCGCACTTGGATATACCAATATTACAAACTTACACCTTATTGGGTTATGTCAAGGTTTATTTTAAATAAAAAAACCGAGCTACGTGAGAGAGCTCGAAGTAGTGGTCTGTCCTTGTCTAACAAGTTGCCAAGGCTAAATAAAATCGTGTTAGATAGTGTCTAGTGCATTAGCTTTTTTTAATTTTGGTTAAATAAAATTAGCTTAAAGGTAATATGCTTTTACTGTGATAATGAAAAAAACATATATCAACAATGAAACGTTCTATTATGATGTAGCATATGAAATAAGTATACTAATTTGAATTATGAAATGATATTAGTAGTTTTGGTCATGCTAAAAATTAAAAAGTTAAAAACAGTACGGCTGGCTGACACATGAATGAAAGAGACGCATTACTACTTTGAAGCCTCTCACTTGGCTCGTTTTATTAACTTAGTGCGCGGTCCAGTTTAATATACACGGCCGTGATAATAATCCCGTTTGAGTGTTGTCCGAAAGTTTACAATAACCTTTTCTTGTATACATTTTAATGAAAATGCATTGTATGAATATTTACGAAAATAATATGGATACATGCCATAAAATACCAAGAGTTTATTTTTACATTTGATTGTAAAAGTATACTTTTCTCTCAAAAAAAGCACATCTTTAAAAAAACTCGTGTCCTTTGACTCGTGCTCGAAATACCGCTCACGACGCGATCGCTATCGCACGAATGTGTGAACGCGTTTCAACCACTCGACACGAATGTTATCGACGAATGTTTAGTCGAAACAATCGACGATAGTGTAAACGCGGTGTTAAACTATGGAAACTAATTAAATGTTATGTTGGCATATATAAATCAGACGTTATATGTATATGATGCATTTCGACGTCGAAAACATAGACATATTATTGTCTTTGTTTAACTATTACGTGCCGTCTTAAGCCAAAAGAGGTAGCATTACATTGGTCTGTGTGAAACACGGGAATCGAAAATACGTAACGTCACTTTAAATGCCAACCGTGTCCAGCAATAATACATGAGGTAGGTGAGGTAGGTACATGCTACAGTTGTGAAAGGAAAGTACATCAAATGTCAAAACAAATGGTTTTCCAAGTGTTTTATTAAATTATTCGCATGTATTGTAATAAAATGGACAAAAATATTGACAGTGAGAACAATTAACTATTAATAAAAATTCGTCGCCGCTGCAATACGGGATGTGGCATTTGAAAAAGCGAAGATCGACCGAATGTAACATTATACAGGCACGTGTTATTTTTCTGTCTGTAAATCACACAAAAGCCCAAATATCTCATGTAATTCGACATATTTAAGTAGTTAATTCATAAATCTTGCCAAATGTTGCTTTGGTTTCTTCAGATTGCCTGTTTGTTTGTATATTTTGATGATTGTTGTTAACGATTATTTTGAGATACTGTTGTTCTTGGAAGCGTACATATTATCGATATTCTGTTATTAAAACAATTCACTACGAGGTTTTTATTATTTTTACTATTTCAAGTTTACCTATAAATCAAAACAAAATAGAATGGTTGAAAATCATACATTGAATCAAAGACCATCTTCATTTATTGACTTCATTTTGAGGAGTAAAATTTTAACATAACTTTGAATGTAACTATATTACATGGTAGTGTAATCCCATCATTAGGTTTATTGGTAAATAATTTTATATTTAATTTAGATTAAACACGACTCACTTACTAGGCATTCTCAGTTCTTGAAAACAAAATTATCCATTCGTTTCCGATTTTTTCCCACTGACAATTGTAACTACTAAAAATTCTTATTTTATAAAGCCAGCAATACAAAGCAATACAAAGACCATGTTGGTCTAACGTTGCCGGGTGAAGGCCAATAGCAACGTATAGACAGCTTATTTGCGTTGCCTTGCTTTGCTATCGTTCGGTGTTACTGCTGACCAAGTGAAGGCGAGCGCTAACGTGTATAGAGCTCGGTTGACGTGTCTTGTCACAACTTGCAGTCGCTCGTGACTACTTGTCTCACTTCGAAGAAGTGTCGATTTTTCTGCACAAATCAAATAGTCAATTGACATCGTATAATCAGACATTTGCATGCTATTTAATATTTGCGAAACATGTTTATACTAACACTGTCTCTTGTTACATCTCCTGTATACCTGTATACTATGTTTTAAGCAAATAAACGTATGATAATAATAATTATTAATATTACTATGTACTTTCATTTATTTCCAAAATTAAATGGAAGTATTAAAGATTCACTTAAATCAGTCACTGATATTAATTCTATACTAATGCATAAATACAAAAAAAAACACTATTTGGAATCTGTTTAAAAATTTCTCTATGAAAATAAGAATCTTAAGGTTGTAAATGTATAGGATTTATATTTTAAAGTTTTCTCTTTTTTATATACTCTCAAATTACAAATATTATTTTTTTCTGTGCAAATTGACTTTTCATAATACTTGAGTATTTGTAAACGCAAAACAATAAATTCAAAATTTCATGTGACATTCCCGGACATTCTCATAATAACCTAAAATATTCCCAAATGGAATATTGATCTAAACTCTGAGATGAAATCAAAGTCCAAAAATGTAAATAAAGGTGATGCCGTTACAAAAAATATTCCACGGATTGTGGAACAGTGAAAACGGCTAAAAATTAATGCTAGATGTTTTATATTATTTATAAATTGTGTGCATGTACAAACAAAATATTATCGAATTATATTTTTTATTTAAAACACCATAATTAATAAGATAATCTCAAAAAACTGTTTCTTGTGGAAAGATTTTTCATCCTATTGGCAATGTTTCGGGGATGAACAACCTTTGGCTGTCCTTAATGTTTATTCGATTTTTAATTGCATTATGTATAAACACAAATACTTATAAGTAGAAGTGTGAATAATAAGTTAATATTATAATGAAAAGGAACAATGAAAAGTCAGTATTTGATCGATAGCGATGGATAACGGGGCAAGACGTCGGGTTGCATCCCCACCAGTGCATCACCGCGATTTTCTTCATTCGGTTTCTGACGGCTGTCGTTATCGAATGTGTCCCTTGCTGTGTATGCGTCATATTGTTGAGTTTTTGTATTTATTGTTGAGTTTTCGTTTTGTGTTATTCTTTTTTGTCAAGTTTTGGTTTTACTCTGTTAGGTCTGTTGTAAGGTTATGGTAATGAATGTCTACAAGCATACATTTAATACCTGGCCACAAAATGAATATTGGTCTTTGTGCAACTGTGCCAACAAAACAGCTGAGATTCTGGGTATATCTAAAAAAACCGTCCGGAGAATAGTGATGGAAAATCAAGCTGGAGAAGAATTTAATTCGCCCGAAAAAAGTGGGCCGAAGACCGATATACTAAACAAACTTGATGAATTCACCTTTTCTGCCATTAGAAGAAAAGTACATGAATTTTTTTATAGAAACGAGAGCCCGACAATTAAAAAGGTCAGTATATTGTACCGGAATTATTAAAGATAATTATCTAAATACTAATTCAAAATAAATCAATAACATTCTAAAGATTTGATGAGAGTTAAATTAACTGGTATTTATCATTAATACAAGCAATCTGTGCTAATATGGTTTGAAACGATTTGAAAAAAGGAATGCTGCTAAATTCAAGATTATTTTATCTCAGTCTATTCAGTATTAAGTTTTTTAATGTTTGTATGTGTATTTTTAGATAGTCCAAGCTGTAAACGACGATTCTGATCTGCCTGATTTTTCATCCTATACTATGAGAAAAGTGCTGAAACATTTGAATTTCAAGTATGCTACCCGCACGCGCCGCAGTTGTTTGATTGACCGGCAAGACATCGTACTGTGGCGAAAACGATATTTAATGACGATCAAGCAATATCGCAATGAAGGGAGATTTATATATTATCAAGACGAAACTTGGATTAACGAAGGTAATTTTCATTCCCGTTTAGTCAATGACATTTATTATGATATGGAATAAAAAGAAAATTTTGATCGCCATTTTGTTTTTTAATGTTTCATAGATAATAATCAAGTAATTGATCATTGCTTTATTTGCAGGGCACGCGGTTAAGAAGACATGAGTTGATACGAAGATCAAATCGTCAAGAGAAGCCTTCCTCGAAGGGCTCACAACAGGGCTAAAAAATCCAGTAGGAAAGGGAAAACGATTAATAATATCACACGTGGGCAGTGAAGAGGGTTTTGTAGACGGTGGTTTGCTGATTTTCGAATCAAAAAAGAAAACTGAAGGTTACCACGATGAAATGCATTCCGAGCATTTCGAGGAGTGGTTAAGGGGTATTTTACCGAGATTGAAAGAGAACTCGGTCTTAGTTTTAGATAATGCCCCCTACCATTCTCGAAAGCTAGAACAGACCCCTTCTTCTGCCTGGCGGAAAAGCAATATTCAAGAATGGATGAAATCAAAGAATATTCCATTCGAAGACAGCATGGTCAAAGCTGAACTATTAGAAATAGTCAATAAAGAAAAATCTAATTATCAACAATTAGCCGTGGAAAAGTTGGCTGCTGAACACGGTGTCACCATTCTGCGACTGCCCCCTTACCACTGCGAATTAAATCCCATCGAATTGGTTTGGGCGCAAGTAAAGGGGCACGTTGCTAGGAACAATAAGACCTTCAAAATGAACGAAGAGACAATTGTTCGAAGAAGGTCTACAATTGGTGACACCACAGAGATGGAGTGATTGTGTTCAGGACATAATAAAACAAGAGAACAAAATGATGCACCTAGACCATCTTATCGATGACGTATCGGATACTTTTATAATTAATGTTACTGATTCTGATTCAAGTACGTCGAGTGGAAGTGAATAAAAAAAAAAATACTCTGGTCTTTTATTGTTAAAGATCAAGGTTAAATTTGCAAAAAAATAGGATCAGATGATGTAGGTACTCAATACTTTATTGCATATCATGTATTTTCATGTATAATAGTACCTATGCCACAGTTTTTGTCCTTTAATGTTAAAAAACTAATTTGAAAAAGTATAAAGCTTGTAGGTGGCGCAAAAGCTTCGACCCGTTATTTTTTCATTTCTAAAATCTTTCTTTGTATGTCAAATAGCGAGAACAATAGCAATTACAGATAACATTATACTAACATCTGTCCTGTCTTTGTACTATCTTATAATATTTTTTTTGAATAATAGCGAACAAAAACTGATAAGCTTTTGTTTATACATGAAAATACGTTATTTGTTCCTAATTTGCCTGAGTAAAAACAAAAGTCAATATTTAACACTTTAGCCACTGATATAGAAAACATAGTTTATGTTCCCAATATAAAGAATATTCTAAGAAGTTTCTTTTGCATATCGAGTTCTTAGGTTTTCGCGATTGTTTTCTTTTGCATAATTTTCCATGGGCCGTGACCTTTCTCATTTCCTGGTATTTTTTTAATTGAAATTATTTTATGACACAAAATGTTTCTAAACAGTTTTGTAAATTGTTCAACCCAAAAGGGTAATAATCAATTATAGTTTATTAGTCACAATCATAGATTTAGTATATCCATAGATTGGCCCTGACGTATTGGAGACGAGACCAAAACAAAAATACATCTGTGTGCGTATAATGTGCATGTGTGCAAGATAAATAGTGTTGCGCCATCCACTGATTTAACTTTAATATCGATTAACATATTACACCGGCATTTCACTTCGTTGTATTCACCAAAATGTCTTAACACAAAATACCGAGACGTTAATTAACTAGTTAATTAATGATTCAATAGAAAATTAAGAAAGCTACTATCACCTTCTGGTAGTGCCACAGGATGGTAGGTAAACAATGGGGACTTTCACCCAAGATAACACTATGGCTCTACAAAATGGTGATAAGACCCATGATCAGTTACGGCGCGATAGTATGGAGGCCACGAACCAAGCTGACGACCGCAACCTACAAACAAATATAACTATTATAATTATTGTATGATATGATAACATAGAAGTGCATCACAGCAGTGAATTTGCAGATAAGTAATAAAACCAAAAAACCGGCCAAGTGCGAGTTCAACTCGCGCGGAGAGGTTTCGGTACAAACTTAACATTGTAGTTGAAGAATATTTTCTCCAATAGATTCCAACAGCAAATATAGGTTTATTCGCGCAATAGTAGGAAATTAAAAGACAATTTCTGTATTTTTTCAAAACTTTAGTCTCTGTAGTTTCGAAGATAAAGGGTAGAATGATCAATTTTTGTCTATTTTCTTAAACAACTTAAAAATATTTATATTTCATAATTACAAAAAATATATATTCTTAAGAACTTTCCCTCCCAATAGTGACTTAAAAATTTAGAATTAATTTATTTACGTTGCACGTTTTGGTCACACAATGAATATGTGTACCAAATTTGAAAAAAATCAGTATCGTATTTTGGAACAGAACAGAACTCTAACAACAATAAATCGCTGATTTCTTGTTGATGAGAGTAGTGCTACACAAAAATCAATTAATTGTAAGACATACCGCATGAATAATGTGGGTACAGAACCAGAACGTAGCTTTACTCTTTGCTTGCCTCTAAAGGCGTTTTATTTAAAAGCATTTTTCCTCAAAGTGTTTGTTTGCTGCATATTTTTGAAAACTTTTTGGAAAGTGTAACGAAAGCAGTACAGGATGGCGGACAAGCGAAATGAAAATAAAATGTCGTTATTTTGGTATTTATTCGGGCAGAGTTTCACCCTATTAATAATTGATACGATAATGTGTTGTTACAATGGCGCCAACTCGTATTTATACTTATTCCTCTCCAAAAATCAATTAGATACTAGAATTCAAAATCTTTGTACATAGATGAGAAATTACGTATTGAAAAGCTATTTGGAATTAATAATAAATCGAACACAGCATCAAACTATCATCAAGCTGTCAGTTCTAAACAAGAATGTAAATTTTAAGAGGAAGTTTTAATTTAATTCTAGTAGTATCTTGAACTAAGTGGCGTTGTATAATTATTTCACATAAATACATTTCTAATTAGTAATTCTAGGATTGTGAGAAATTAATAATTATTTATCATTTTATATACAATAATTTCTAGTTATATTTATTAAATGTATTTGTAATATAATTACAAATACACTATTGGTCGAGGGCTTCATGTGCGGATGGCGGTGGCGCCACCAGTGGACATCGAAGCTAACAAAAGTCTTCTTTCTTTAGCTTTATAAGCCATTTCTGTCGTACTTCAATGTTTTGAGGAAATCTGAATCAACAACAATAATTAACATAAAAAATGGGTGCCTCAACTATGCTATTAAAAGAAATTTTCGTTTTAATGTAAACAAAATATAATGTACTAATGCAATATTAATTAAATATAAAGTACTAAATCCAGAAATTTCTGATTCAATAAATAAAAAAAAATTAAGTATGAAGATGATTTCGGCTGTATGCAAGTCACGCCTTTGCCTTTCTTTTTTTCAGTTAATGACATCTCGATAACATATTATCGATTGCGTCAATCTCTATGAAAGTGGGGTTATGAAAATTCAGAAATTCACGTATTTGATATATTTTTTAATTGAATTCGTATACATTTGGGTTATTAATGCACTTGAATGGTATAATTTTACGGATATATTTAAATAAAAAACTTTTGTGGTAGTGCTTTTAGACAGCTAAAAATTTAAATAGTACTTAGTTACATCCGGACACTGAAAACTTTACAATGACTAATAAACGTCCGTTTAACACTATTTCACATTTTAAAACCAATTATTTTTCAAAAACAAACGAAATTTGTTTCGTTGTCAGCTGACCCTAGGTTCATATAGCCTCATAGCTTATAATGAAGTGGTCTCGTCTACCCATCTCGTTCTAACATACGTGTATACTAACTCTCTTTCACTTGCATTGCCAATCTATGGGTACCTATATACTAAATCTATGGTCACAATACAGTGGAACCTGTTAAATAAACGAACGTGGAAAAAAAGGTTTATGGTCTGTGAGATGTCACTTTGACAGCTGGTGTTGTTTGTTTACATTTTTGGACTTCGACTATATCTCAGAGTTTACATTAATTAAATGTTCGCATGTCGATAATGACTTATCGATAGATTATGGTACGACACTGAAGAAATCCGCCATTTGTTCGTTCAATTCACAAACTATTAGATGGTCCAATTTTTGTTTAGTTATGCCCGTTTATTCCGTAGTTAGGGCAGCTCCTGTCTTTTATTTTTTTCCATACTCTAAGGTCGGATCTGACTATCGGATGGAAAAATCGGATTAATTCTAGTAGTTCTCATTCCAACGGTCACCAATAATATGGAGAAAAAACGGAGATCGCGAGTAGACCCCCGCGATTTCCGTTCGACATCGCGCGTCGTCCGAAACAATTACTGCTAAATAAGCAATATTTGACCAAATGAAAAGACGCGTGTTGCGAATGAAGCCTCATACTGGATACTTACTTGTTTTTTAATTTTGTCGAATATTATTTGACAGTAATTGTTTCGGACGGATGTCGGACGGAAATCGAGAGTACACCCCCTGTTCAGTGGTACACTCGGCTTTCAGCGGAAAGACTACCCAGCACGTTTTTTTATTTATTATTTAATTGGTGTACTGAAGCTTGCTATTTCCGGTTTTTATGCACATCATAGACAAGGGAATGACTTTATGTTTTAAATAACACTGGCAACATGGTGGAACTTTGAATTGCCACATGAAATTATAAGCAAAAAGACGGCCTTTTTTGAAGAAGTTCAAAATGGCAGGAGATCAGGCGCAGTTTTTCCAGTTATTAAATACATTGTTATCAACAGATAATGACATCCGATCCCAGGCAGAAGTAAGTGTAAATTATTGTTTTTGCTTATAAAATACTTTTGTTGCAATTAGTAGTAAATTACTAAATATCACCTTCGCTTGATGTTGGGAAGCCTCGTGTCAAAACGTGGTCATGGAGGATTTTTGCATGTAATTTCTCAAACAACGACGAATCTTTATTTACCGTTGAGCAAATTAGGAAGGCACGGGTTTTTTAACATTTTGAAACGAGCTGATGCAGGTCCATAGAGTTCAGCCAGCGAACCATTTTTCGTATAACCGCCAATAAACTAGGCGGCGAACGGTCATTCCATGTGATTTCGCCGGATAATTTATTATAACCATTTGCTTGCTAAACTCATTGAATCGTAAATAGCATAAACCCAAATATCTTTAAACTATTTTCAAGTTGTAAAGAGCGAATGGATTTATGTACATTACGCAGACATTTTGATATTAGCATATGCACTTGCGCTATGTATAAGATCATGTATTTATAAAATAGTACTAATGACAGTTGACATAATAATGTTGACATAAACTTGTATTGGGGTTTAGAAACTGGCTACTAAGTGTTATATATATGGTATATTCAGGGCCTACACATAGGTATTATTAGTATATTTCAACTTTTCTAGCCCTTATTTTTTTTTTCAATAATAATTATAATTAATTTAAAATTAATTCTGTTCTGCCATTATCAAAATTGAACAATTCCACATCATAAATATCTTGAAACAAAAACTCAATGAGGAATTTTCAACATTTCTATGTATGTAATGACACACAAGTACTAGTTGGAACATTGGTTACAAACAGGAAGCATACAACAACATCCCAACTGAAGCAAAAGTAGTGCACCTAGTGGGTGCTGTGCAAAATGTGGAACTGGGTGAAGAGGGGCGGCAGACAGCAGCTGTACTGTTACGCCGCCTTCTTAGCGCAGAGTTCTTTGAATTCTTCCCCAAGCTGCCTTTTGAACAGCAAGTTTTGTTACGTGAGCAATTGCTACTATCACTCCAGATGGATGTCACCCAACAGCTGCGTCGAAAGGTATGTCCACAGTATTAAAACATCTTTCATGAGTATAACAGTTTTTATAATACAATACTTTATTAATACTGTATTTTTATAATAACTCTTAATACTTCTACCTACCTACCTACCATGATATTTTAAAATTTTACTTAAGATACAATAACAATATTCTTAAATAATATAGGTGTAATTTTTTTACTTTCCTAGCTCACAGTGTAACAAACATTACTGCGATAATTAATTGCAACTTTCATAGTATGCAAATTGCTTAGTTACTTATTTGGTGATGCAATCCCGAGCAACAAAGTAGACCTATTTAAGTTTAGAAAGAAGTTTAGAAAATGTGTAATTTTAACATTTAACATAAAATATTGGTATCCATTTACTTCACAATAATTGAAGTAAACAAAACAGCAATGAAGCAGCAACTTTTTTTAGTTATCTTATCAACATACTCAGATTCAAATGTAAAAATGTCTTTTAATGAATTATTCCAATGCAGTTTCAATATTATACCTGCAAATTGAAAATTCATACATGTTGATTTCAACAAAGTTAATTTGGACTGTATAAAGACCTGCAACATAGAAGTACCCATTTGACCTTAAATCCTAGTTAGATTTATGAGTGAGGTGTTCAATTGTGCATGCATTGTGTACCAATTGATCTATGACAGTCAACACGTGTTGTAAATATACATTTTTATAGCTAACTGTCACTACTGTGACCTTGATATTTAGGCCTTGTGCAGTGTTAGTGAACATTGCTATGTAGTACTGTTATAATAGCTCTGTGTCAATTGCGACAGGGTCACGTTTAAATATCTCGTCACTTCCTATCCACAAGAATGTATTCAACTTACCACATCAATACATTTTTTTATAAAATTATTGTTTTCTCATATTTATTGATACAACCACTAAGTTGGTAATACGATGCTTATATACTATTTCTATTTTCTATTATTATTATTAGTGTCTTCATTCAGGGCCTATGCAGCCTCCCATCACTGACCAATAACTGATCTGAATCTGGAGGCAGAAGAATTTCATCCGCCTAGTGCCAGATTTTACCCTAAAGAGTTTTTTTCTCCCCAGTGATTTGACATGTGCTTGCTCGTTCAATCCACAATGCCATGTTAAGGCTCTAGTCAACATTCTGATGCCATTCCTGCCCAGATATACAGAAACCAGATTTTGCTTCAGCCGAGCTATAAAGGTTTTGGGACCAATAAAGGCCTCCATAGCACCAGCATTAGCCAATTCATCCGGTTCCTCGGTCACCCTCAGTCACCCTGGTCACCCTGTCAGAGTGACCTGGAACCTTGTGCAGAACCACTTTATTCTTTTCCCTGAGAGTATTCAGTATAGTTACACAGTTCTCTACAATCGTCAATGTTTGGGTAACTAAGACTAGTGCATATAGAGGCCACTTGACTGAGTTTATGTAATGTTTTATATTACTATCTATGTTTATTATCTTTAATATTTTGACTGAAGGACTTGAATCCAAGGTCATGATTTTTTTAAAGCGACTTTCTCTCTGTAGCTTAGTAGCAAGATCTTAATCAAAATTCATAGTAAAAATCTGTAAACTTTATTGTAACACTATTATGTAATGTGTTCTAATATGAAGATTGAATTGTTAACAGAGTTGAACTAATTTTTAATCCACTTGAAAATTCAATACAGTCCTAAAATGGAATTCACAAAGAACAAAATAGTCTTACTGTGTAGTGCTCATTGTTTGAGGTTAACATTTTTGGTCTAATTTTGAATGATCAAGCCATGACTTCCTCTCAATACAGAGTTTATTGCATCTCTGATCAGAGAAAGTACAGTCAATACAAGAAAATTCTAATTAAATTGGTATCTTCTCAATATTTATTTGACTAATCTCGATAATAACAATGTCAAATGAAAACAACTTAGAGCAAGGTTGGGACATTTAACGGCCTCAGAAAATGTTCGTAACTAGCATTTAAATTTCTTTTTATTTTTTGCAAAGATTTGCGACGTAGTATCAGAGCTTGCCAGAAACCACATCGATGACGACGGCGTCAACCAATGGCCGGAGTTCTTACAGTTCATGTTCAATTGCGCCAACTCCCAGGACGCAAATATGAAGGAAGCTGGCATTCGTATGTTTACGTAAGTTTCAACATTTACCTATCGCACTTGTGTTAAGTACAAACAGAAATGCTCTTTGCTCATTAATTACACCATTACTGTGTATCTGCTACTATTACCTAAATTTTAACTATTAGCGGACTTTACACATTTTATTACGCGTGATACCGCAATCGTGCGTGATTGAGCACGCGGGTAAACACGTTGAAAGGAAAAGGGAAAGACCGCCTGTTACATTTGTGCCTGATCGGTCCTTAGCGGGAGCGATCGTAGTTAGTTCAATCGGTCAACTGAACTTGGTTGGTCTTCTAGTTCATCTACTTCGTTAGTTACTTAGTTCGTCTTGTCCTTGCTAGTAAATTAGTAATTTTATTCACATGAACTACTACAGACTTCTAGTATCAACAGTATACTACTAAATATTTAAAAATACAATTTGTATAGAATCGGTACTATTTCACTTTCCTTACTATTTCATTTTTTACAGGTAAACCTGTAAAAAATGAAGACTGTCATTCTAACTAAATATCCATTTTTACAAAACAAGAACTTTAGTTAGAATGGTGTGTTTAAAAATTCACATTTAGGTACAACTATTTCATATACTCGTACACGTAGGTTGATATTATACATACAGATACCTACCACACCTACCAAAAAATATGAACGCTTAACTTTTTTGCAAGCTTGTATATATACATAACGTAGATACGTATTACAGACTTAGAACGAGCTGGCAACATTCAATCGTGCATCCCATTCGAACTTGTACTAAAGTAGTGAAAGATCGCTATTTGCCCCACTCGCACCGTTCGCACTCAATAAAAGACAGGTGGACTATCAACGCAGACAGTTCCTAGTACGTACTGAACTAAAAAGAACAATGAACTATTAAAACCGTCCAAGACGAATTAGTTAGTGTCGGGAATATATTCGTAATAGTACGTAATTCATGAACCATACAAGCCTACCGCGTGTTGGAGTGCGCGATTGCACGCGCGACTGTCGAGCGCAATCGCGCAGTCCAATACGCACCAGTGTCACGCGGTCTATCCTGCGTTATTAGCGTTTACACGGACGACGCCCTTATATAATCACAAAACATGGTTTATAAATCATAAATTCATTTTCTTAATGTTTTTTATTTTAACAGTTCAGTGCCAGGAGTATTCGGTAACCAGCAGAACCAAAATCTGGATGTAATTAAGCGCATGCTTTTGTCGGCGCTGCAGCCTACCGAGTCAGATGCATTACGCATCCAAGCCGTAAAGGCTATCGGCGCCTTTATACTGCTGCACGACAAGGAACCCGTCATCCAACAGCACTTTCAGGATGTCCTGCTTCCTCTTATGCAGGTTAGCAGTAACAATAGCTTGTTACAATGTTCAACATCGATACATTGGAAACCTGTGTTTATGTATTGTGAACTCCAACTGAAAAGTACTACAATGAATAAGAGGCTTCCTTATTATTGTTAGTTCCATTACATGTGAGGCATCGTAGCACACAGTATTACGTGCACATTTCCTGATGAAATGTGTTACTGCCAGATTGTGCAAAATCAAATTGGGAATTCGCTAACACCAACCTTTCATAGGATGGAGTTTGATAGTAACTCTCAGGACAAACTTTAGTGAAACATAAACTTTGATAAAACTGTATTATTTTGACGTTTTTAAGTACTATTGTATTCTTGTACAACAGGTGGTAGTGCAGTCGATCGACAACGCCGAAGACGACGCAGCTCTTAAGGTGCTTATCGAGCTTGCTGAGTCCACTCCAAAATTTTTGCGACCACAGCTAGAGAACATCTTCCAAGTGTGCATAAAGGTATCTAAATTAAATATATGAATAGCATAATCTCCAGTAGGTTTTCAGTATATAGAGTTTAGTTCCGCTAATATTATCTAATATCATAACAACAGACATTGTCTTAAAATTCCCATATTTTGTTTTTTAAATACAGCACTATGGAAGTAATGAAATTACTCTTTTTGCCACAGATTGATCAAAGGTCATCTGATATTTTGTAATGTTCTTGATAGAAGATTATTGATTTTGATCCAGATAAACACATAACATGTATGCTTTGCTATTCCATGGACTTGAAAGAGTAGAAAATTATTATTTATGTGTAAGATTGTAATGCGTGTTTTGACAAAGGGTAACAATTTGGACTGATTAGGTAGGTATCATGCTGAGTGCTACATCAACAAGAGCCTCAATATTAAATTGAAGAATAAGAAGATACTTAAGATGATACCAAGAAATAACATTTTGTTAGGTGATCGGCGACACTGATGCCGAAGACAACTGGAGGCAGCTGGCTCTCGAGACGCTGGTGACGCTGTGCGAAACCGCGCCGGCCATGGTGCGCCGGCAGGCCGCGCACGCCATCCGCCTGCTGACGCCGCTCGTGCTCGAGATGATGTGCGAGCTGGAAGATGAGCCTGACTGGTCCCTTCAGGATGACGCAGCCGACGAGGATAACGAAAAGTAATCAACCTCATTTTCTTCAACTTTACCATAGCACATTTTATTATTAAGGCACGTCTCAGATTAGCCACTAGGTTGCATGCAAATCATCTTAAGAGTACTGCAACTTTGCAGTACTGCTCGAGCCTTCGAAAAATAAAATAGTGACCAATCACTCAACTATTACTGAAGACAGTATGGGTAAAATGCCAATAGCTAAACACATACTAAAAAGAATTATCTGTGTAAGATTCTGTATTTAGCTACATTTATTTGATGCAGCTTTAAATAATCTTACTAAAGTAATCAACAAGATAATTAGCATCCTGTGTTTCTACATTTGGGTGTCAGTCCCTTGGTTACACATGCGTTACAATATAAAATAATGTTACGGTGCTTTTTAAAAGGCTAGTTTTTATATTATTCTATATTACCTTTTCAGCAACTACGTAGCAGCGGAGTCTGCCCTTGACCGCATGTGCTGCGGCCTGGGCGGCAAGATCATGTTGGGATTAATCGTAGGCCAAGTGCCTGAAATGCTAAACTCTGAGGACTGGCGGAGAAGACACGCGGCGCTCATGGCCGTGTCCTCGGCCGGCGAAGGCTGCCATAAGCAAATGGAGGCCATGCTCGAGCAAGTTGTCAGTGCTGTGCTCAACTACTTGACAGATCCTGTGAGTGTAACTGAAGAATAATAAAGTTCAGTTAACAAAATCCAAACACTAAATACTAAGCCATACAACTCTTAACCGTCGCTTTATAGCATCCGCGCGTGCGCTATGCAGCTTGCAACGCTATTGGACAGATGTCTACTGACTTCGCTCCGTCCTTTGAGAAGAAGTTCCACGATAAAGTAGTGCCTGGCCTTCTTTTGGTGCTCGATGACAATGCTAATCCCCGCGTGCAGGTACATAAAATTTATTTTACGATTACAATACAAAATTAACTAACATATTAAATATAGCGAATCACTATATTTTGAAAATGAACCTTAAACATAATTAAAGTAAAAACCAAATAAGACACGACGCAAGCACATAGAAAAATTCGTGAGATTCGCTGGTTCGTTCCGTGGCTTAGTTGGTATAGCGTCTAGCACGGTAAGCTAGAAGACGTCGGTTCGAATCCGGCCGGATCGAAGGAATTTTTTGTGAGTGTTCGATCTTTGTATTAATAATTATAACAAACTAGTGGAGTAATTTCACAAAAAATAATTGTGATATTCAATAATTTTTTGTGAATAAAATTTCAATAAAATTTTTAAATTTAATATTTATAAATTCAATAAAAAATCATAATTAAAGTAACGAGTTCTTAGGTTTTCGCGATTGTTATACATAGGAATGAAACTATTTTTCCGGATTTAAATCGCGTATATTTGTTTTTTCAAACAAACCGACGTTTCGGGCCCTTTACAGGTCCCATGGTCACGGTTGACTGAGGTGGTACAGTCTTCAACCAGTTATGTCTAATATTGATGCAAACCACCCTATTTTTTCACTATAGTTACAATAGTTATTAATTAAATACCTTATTTTTAATTTTACAAAGAAAACATTCCAATTTACGCTACATTAAGTTTTACAAATTATTTTATGGAATGAATTTTTTATTAAGTTTAATTTATTATTAATTATTAATAGAAATTAGAATAAATTAAAACTAAATATATAATTAAATTATAAATTAAATTAAATTATAAATAAATAATTAAATTGTTTGAAAAAACAAATATACGCGATTTAAATCCGGAAAAATAGTTTCATTCCTACATAATTAAAGTAATTAAATAACATTGGTTCCAGGCTCACGCTGCTGCTGCTCTCGTAAACTTCAGTGAAGACTGCCCCAAGCCAATTTTGACTCAATATCTTGAACCATTGATGGGCAAACTCGAAGCCATTCTGACTACAAAATTTACTGAGGTAGATACAGTCGTTTAATAATCTGTGCTACCCAATGATTCGTTTGTGATACATCTATTACTTACGGTGCATCACATCCATAACATTGGAAGAAAAACAGTGGCAATTGCTCCCTTTCTTTCTGTTATAGAGAGTTAGGGATCTCAGTTCACTGACAAACGTTTAACAAACAAATAAAACCGCTGTCTTATTTCGATTATAGGTACCGTATCTTTCGCAAACATATATTTTGGCTTCTCTTAAATTGATTTAGCATTAAGAATAATATTTTATTGCAGTTGGTACAACGCGGCACAAAGCTTGTACTGGAGCAGATTGTGACGACGATCGCATCTGTGGCTGACACAGTGGAGCACGACTTCGTAATGTACTATGACCGCCTACTGCCCTGCCTTAAGTACATCATCGCCAACGCCAATACCGAGGAACTCAAGATGCTCCGTGGCAAGACCATTGAGTGTGTCAGCCTCATTGGTAACTAGAAACCTAATTACCATGACGTTGCGTTAAATATTTCTTATTCAAGTCTTATAAATCTTAAATATTTTAGGCTTTTAGTGTGTTGCTCTGTCAGTTTAAAGTAAGGAATCAATTTGATTATTTCTAGTTTTTTTCTTTCTGTTCAATAGGATTAGCTGTCGGCCAAGAGAAATTCGTAGAAGACGCCATCGAAGTAATGGGTTTACTATTAGGGCACATGAAAGGCGAGGGCCTGCCCGCTGACGACCCACAGACCTCTTACCTGATTTCAGCCTGGTCTCGCTTTTGCAGGATTTTGGGTAAGCGAGATACATCTCGACCACTGAAAATCACATAGCCATGTGTGATCTCTGGTGGTCGGAGTAGATAGAGTTTTGATAATAATAATAATAATGCACACACTCGACAGGTAAGTTTTGTTTGTCACTTATGAATGTCGTCATAATATGTTTGAACATGCCTTTTCTGAACAAATATAAATAATACCCATTGACCCACCAAGAAATGGACATCGGGTCTAATACAAAAACCACGAAAAAATTGTCCGTAGTTAAGCTATACAAACGTAGTGACATGTAACGAAATATAAAAAACTAAAACATTTAATTTAAATTGTAACGTCATTGCTGTACTGCCTAATTTTGCTTGCATCAATTTAAGGCCCAAAAACACCATTTTCAGCTTCTACTGGAAACTTAAGCAAAATGTGCCATATTTAGCTTCGACTAAAAATTACTTGAACACAAGAGTAAGAGTAGCCTTTCTCGTAAATATTAATTGATTTTTATGAATATTATTAAGTCGAATTTTATACAAATCCACTTAAAGATATAATAAAGAGTTGATCAGATACATACAAATATTACTACAATAAATGTGAAAATAACCGTGTACTATAGGAAATGTACCGATATTCCAACTAATCGTAAACTCAAATATCCGTAATTTCGAAAACCGATTTATAATAAAACCGTTACGCTTTCGATGCTTTTCACAAACACAAAATTAGCTTGTGTTTTGTACTCTTCGTAAAAAAATACATTTCACATTATGAAAATTCGAGCTAACGTTATTTCGGGCAAATGTATTTTCTGACTTCTGATAGACAATCCCAAGCCGTAAAACAAGTACAACAATATTTTGTTAGTTATTGCTAACGTTTAATAAAAAATAATTTAAAAAATAACATTAAAATCAAAGCGACTCTATACTTTCTTTGTCTAAATATTTCAATCGCTTGTGGTTCGAACAATTGAAAATGACTAAGAAGTTTATATAAGCTTCTTGAAACTGACGTAATGGGTCTCTTTTCATCTTTTGCGCATGCAATGTATAGAAAAGGGATAGTTAGCTATTTGATTATTTTGTGTGCTTTTGTAATTTATATTTACTATTCATTTATATATCAATTAAATACTGTAAAACTGTACAAAATAACACTTAAATGAGAACTATGATAACACAATATATTTGTTTAGTGAAAATATGACAAAAAAATCCTGTTTTTACACTTTATTGCAGTAATTTTTACAAGTTACTATTATTGGTACTGCATGATTGACAACCGCGCTTTCAGTCGAACAAACGAAGACTGTTGCGCGATTGACGCTCTGTATGCGATTTTAACGCCCGACAGATGCGGACACTTTTTAGCGCGAACCCGAAGTCCATTTATTAGTAGGTCAATGATAATATCAGTATTTGTGGGATTCATAAATTTCCTTCGATGTAGAGTCAGAACATTGTTTTATTATTTTATATTCTATCATTTCAATTATTAACTGACTTCAAAAAAAAAAGGAAGAGGTTGTCAATTAGACTGTATTTCTTTTGTATGTTCGAGGTGGCGGCTGACGAGTCCGCGGCCTAAGGTATTTAAAAACAGAGAAGTCCAGTCCAAGATTTACATTTTTTTTTTATTTCATAATATAATCTGCCTCAAAATCTCAAAATCTTATTAATCAGAAGAGGTTTAATTAATGACGGCGTCGTGTGAAATTTTTGTGATTTGTTTATTACTTCTCGGATTTTTAACTCTGCTACTCTGCATATTTGGATAGCATCTTAGGTGGGATAAACTAGACCACCTTCGTCCTCAAAAGCAACGAACTCATATGTATGACTAACTCCAGGTTTTTGTAAAGACAGCGCACTGTTAATTCTTTGCATTATATATTTTTTTGTATAACTCGTACTACATATCCGGCGATGTATGTAATTATTTGGTCACTATATTCGGATATTCGAGGCAACGTGCTGCAAACATTATCGAAATTACAGATACTACTGATAATAGATACCACGAAACTGAAAAAAAAAAGAAACATTTTCAACTAGTGTTTATCTACAATAACGGTCGAGCGCGTTCTGAAGTTTAGCAGCGGCAACTAAGTGAATTTCACTTACTTTGGGCACGCGAAGTACGTACACTTGCGGCGTCTACTTGGTACTTGGTGTAACGGGCTGGTGTCCGCAACTCGACGTCAAGGCGCCTATTTTGCGGCGTTTATCTAGATATATCTCTGTGCAGCCAGCCAAGTTCCATGCAATTCACTTGACGTGGTAATATCATCTCACCTACACAAAGTTGAACGGGAATGGCATGACAGGATGATGAGTT